TGAGAAGAGGATAGGGGTTGAAATTTTCATTTTTAGTTTTTTTTAATCTATTTAGATAAATAATAAACCTGATAAAAAATAAAATAAAAATTAAAGTAAGGGCAAAATTGTCATTATAAAAAAGTTACAAGTAAATTGGACCAAAGTGGCAACAAAATCAAACTTTTGGACCACTGGTGCTAGTCCAAACTTTTTTGGACAAAAGTAGCAATTTTCGACATACCACATGGATCATTTGTGCAGTTTTGTCTTATTATTTCTCTTATATTTTACATCAATTGATCAATATATATATATATATATATATATATATATATATATATATATATTTTCTGCATGAATAACTTTTTTTTTTTTGATAATTCTGCATGAATAGACTTGAACCCTCGTGTTGGATAACATGGGATTAGGAAGCACACATATAAAAACCTATGATACTTAATATAATACAAGAAACAGGATTGCTAATGCATTCATTTTTTTTCTTGTACTGGGTTTTATTAGATACATCCATAGATTGAAGTGTCGTCTAAAAAATCTAAGAAAATAGTTTACTATGTAGAACTGAATCAGAGAGGGAAAAAGGTACAATTTAAAAATATATGCTTACGTATTCAAATTAAGCAAAGTCATTGGGTTGATTTTTTTTTTTTTTTTTTTTTTTTTTATTTTTTATCCGGCTCCAACAATAAGGAATGCAAACGCCCAATACAGCGGCATCATGATAAGCAAGTCGAAGTTGCATAAAGCTGTTATGGAGGGGCAATGGTGGGAAGTAGAAACCATACTGAGAGGTGAAACAAATGAAATTGGGGAGGTAATCAACAATGATGGCGAAACGGTTCTCCATATATTGGTTAGAACAGGTCACAATTATCTTCTGAGAAGGTTATTAGATCTTATAAAAGATACAGTACAGATAATGAAATACTTAAAAGGAAAAGTTCAGATGGAAGCACAGCCCTTCACATTGCCGCAATTACTGGCAACACAGATGCAGCTGCTCTCTTAATTAAAAAAATGAAAAGTTTGATGACAGTTGAAGATTCTTACGAGCATGTACCATTCGTATCAGCTTATATGCATAAGCAATTAGATGCCTCCGTATTTTTGGTCAAAGGTATTCATGAGAATTTGCAAACCCACAAATGGAGTGCAGGAGAGCATTCGATAGCATTCAGCCTTCTTCTTGATATTATTTTTTCAAGAAAGTATGGTAAGTAATCGATTCATCTTATAAGTATTATATATGAACCAGTGACATACTCTTGCAATGTGCCTTGCAGATCTAGCATTAGGCTTACTCAATGCATTTCCAGATATGGCTGCTAAAGATACTGTTGATTTACTTATGGCTTTAGCTAGAGACTTTCCAGGTGGACTAGGCTGTGGGGAAGCACTTGTTTATCTATGTATGTTTCTTTTCTCTTTCTTCTTATTTCCTTTTTAATTCAAAGGATGATTGATAATGGTTTTCCTCTTTCAGCTTTCACAGACATTCGCCGTAGGATCCTGAAAAGAACTAGTTGGTTGCTTACTCCAGTACAATTTTGCTCCTCAGGAGCCCTAGCTGAACCTGTTAAGGATGCCTTATCAGCAATAATTAGGATATTAATCGGTGAGACACTAATGATAAGTGGATTCACCTAAATGGTTAATAACATATGTTTTTTCTAATAATATTTTGTGCTACTACAGTTTTAGTGATTATACCAATTATGGTGTTTCGATTGCTTTGCTTCCTCATATGGACTGTTTATTTAGCATTTCTTATTGCTTATTGGGTGCTGTGGAATGTCGCAAGATTAATATGTAAGAACATATGGATTCAATCCACTTAATCATTGCAAACAATTAACTAACTTCCAACAAAATTAATTAGTATGATCCTTTATTCCTTTTTGAACTAATAGAAGCTTTGTAACTTGTTAATGCCATCCATTCGGCGTATCGAGAAGAAAATGGAAGAATGGGAAAAAGCAAAAGAGGTTCTAAAAAGGGTATTTAAGAAAATAGACAAGTTAGGAAACATTGCCACTCAGCAGTTCTTATACAAAGAGCCAATACTTGAAGCTGCACGTCGAAATGCCTATGAGGTTGTTGATGAGATCTTGTCCAGATCACCTGAAGCAATTTATTGGAAAGATAAAAAAGGGTTTAACATCATCCATTTAGCAGTAACACATCGTTCAGAAAAAATCTACAAGCTTATCTATGACAATGTCAATGTTGATCGTAGAAGTCTTTATAAACCACAATTAGATTCATCTGAGAACAATATCTTGCACTTGGTTGGAAGATTGGCGCCTTCAAACAAACTCAAAAGTAGAAGAGGTGCAGCATTACAGCTTCAACGAGAGCTTCAATGGTCTCAAGTACGTACTAAATAAATTATGAATACTAATTTAAACAATTATAAATTTTCTACCAAATTAGCATAAGTTCAAGCTAATGTATAGGAACTGAAGAAACTTGCGGATCCAACATTCACTACTGAAAAGAACATCTATGGAGAAACACCAGGTATGGTGTTTACAAAGGAACACGAAAACATGGTAAAGGAAGGAGAAACGTGGATGAAAAGTACAGCAGAATCATCCAGCATCACTGCTGCACTGATCACTACAATCGTATTTGCAGCAGCAATCACTGTACCAGGTGGAAGCCACCAAGAAACAGGTGTACCATTATTTACAAAAAATGCTGCTTTCATTGTCTTTGCTGCATCAGACTCAATAGCACTGTGTGCATCGACTATGTCATTGCTAATGTTCTTATCTATCCTCACTACACGTTTTGCTGAGCAAGATTTTCTCTTCGACTTACCAAATCAGTTAATTCTTGGTCTTTGCGCATTGTTGATATCTACAACTGCCATGATGGTTGCCTTTGGTGCCACTTTGATCCTTGTCTTTTCTCATCAGAAAGCATGGATGCTTGGTCCAATCTGTGGATTACTTTGCATACCAATTACGAGTTTTGCTATTCTTCAGTTTCCTCTTATAGCCGATTTAATCTTATCAACACATTTCACCATATTTGGCAAGCCATGTACCAGTCACCGTGGTCAGTTGAATCGCAATGGATTATGGTTGTTCCCTAGTAAGTTAAGCGAGTACATTCTGGCTGTCTGGCATTCATGTAATAATGTAATTATAACAGGCGGGTGACAATGACGTCTAAGGCGGAGGGGAATGTTAACACTCTTAGCACCTTGCCACGTCAGCTTTTTGAGTGCCATATCATTTTTCTCCGGTTAGCACATAATCTTAACATGTGGTAAGGAGTAACTCCTAACACTCCATTTTTTTATTTTATTTTTCCAATTTAATTTAGTTACTTTATTTTAATAAACAAATATTTTTTTTAATACTACACAAACATTTTTTTTATTTAATTAATATGACATAAGTTTTTTTTAACGACACACTCATATTAAATAAAAACAATTACAATAATTTAAAACACGATTTAATTTATGTTATTGTTGATTACAAAACTCGGACACATAAACAAAATGTCAAACTTTATTTTGCACAAACCAAAGATATTATTTAATAACAAATTTATTAACATATTTTCTAATTGTTTAACAACTAAAGACTAAAGTAATCCAAGCCCAATATCCAACCCGTTAATGCCCCCAATGATATAAAGCCTTTAAAAAAGACCTAATCCCAATTTATTTTTGGATATGTGGGCGGCAGCGAAGGAAGAACCAGGCATGCGTCTCTTTCGTTGAATTTTGGAAACATTAATCCTATATTCCTTCTCATCTTCTATAAACAATACAAATCGATGGTTTACAAAAATGATTCCTCATTTTCTTGGTTTATCATTGTATGTTTCATCCGCCCCTGCAAGCACCAATCAAATTCAACCCTAACTCTCTCTCTCTTCTCGCCAAAATTGTAACGAGGCTCTGGTTGCGACCCCTTTAGCGAGAGCTAGGGGTGGCGTTCATTGATCACTGGCGAGCTTAGCGAGCCCGGTGGCGACCCCCACTCCTCTTAGTCTAAGAATATGTTATTGTGTATTTTCTGGTTTAGCTGCTGCTTTGGTCCTTTTGGCTAGTTTCGGCTAGTTTATAGTTGTGGTCTTGTGGAATTGGTCCTTGTAAAAATTGAAAATATTAGTTTAACCTCTATATATGTTTGTTTTTTTTTTCATTCTTTTCTTTTAATATTTTAATATTATCTAGTTTAATAAATGAATGTTTTTTTTACTATTTGTCACATTCTCATTTAATTTCCCAAATGTCATTTTGTAGTTTTTTTGAATTAATTTTTTTTCGACTTGTCATTTTATGAGTTTTTCTATTTTATTAAATTTCACATAATATTTTAATCTGATAATTGCAATAAATGTAGTAATAAATAGATATCAATTTCATTAATCAACTTACTTTTTAATTTCAAAATCCTAAAATTAAAGCTCATTAGTTTCTTTTGTTTATTTATTTAAATTAATTGTTTAAATTTAAAAGATAAAAAACATTTTCATTATAATAATTTATTGTTTTTCTTATTTTCTTATAAATTTAAAGTTCTCAAATATTTTGACCTTTATATTAACTTTTTTTTTAAATTAACTCATGTAATACATGGGTCTCACAACTACTTAAGTATAGAATGAGACTACAACCCCACCCCACCCGAGCCCCCCTTTTGTCTCTCTCCTTGAATGAAACATCCCAATTATACGGTCCAAAAATTTCGCTTTTAATTATTAATAAAACTATAGTTCTCAAATCATCACATCAAATCAGATTCATAGCATCTCAAAACATCATAAACATCTGTCAAATATATCAGAGTAACATCCCAGGCTAAAATATAATGGTGTGTGCAATGCAGTCATCCCGAGCTCTTCCCTTTGCTACCGAAGGTACCTGAAACCAAAACTGAAATATGTAAGCAAAAAGCTTAGTGAGTCTCCCCAAACTACCACATACCATACACATAGCATTCAGTTAGGAGATACGGGCCTCGCCCACACTCAAGGAGATACAGGCCCCCGCCCACACTCGGCTAACTAGGAGATACGGGCCTCGCCCACACTTAGCTAACTGGGAGATACGGGCCCCCGCCCACACTCGGCTAACTATGAGATACGGGCCTCGCCCACACTTAGCTAACTAGGAGGTACGAGCCCCGCCCACACTCCTCTAACTAGGAGATACGGGCCTCGCCCACACTCCGCTATCTAGGAGATACGGGCCTCGCCCACACTCCGCTATCTAGGAGATACGGGCCTCACCCAAACGAGATACGGGCCCCGCCCACACTCACATAACAATGAGATACGAGCCCCGCCCACACTCACATACGTAAACAAACACATACATGTATTACACAGGCAACAAGTATTACAACCTACCAAACATATTACTAACCATACTCAAGTGATGATGAGATATGGGCCTAGCCCACGCTCTATGAGATACGGGCCTCTCCCACACTCTATGAGATACGGGCCCTAGGGTTGTCAAATCGGGCAGTCGTGTCGTGTTTTTGTCTGACACGACACGACACGACAAGATTTTGTATAACACGAACACGACACGACACGATGTCGTGTTTTTTTCATTAACACGAAAACGAACCAATTAAAACACGACAACACGACACGACACGACAAATATAATATTACATAACTATTAGTGTATTTCATTCATACTTAAAGATATATAACACTACAAAAACGACAAACACGAAAAACACGACAACCACATGCTTAATCGTGTCAATTGTGTGTCGATTTATGAACACGAACACGACACGACACGACATCATGTTTTTTAATCTTGACACGAACACGACACGAACACGAATTCGAATTTTGATTTCGTCCTGATTTCGTTTTGTTTCGTGTATATTTGTCGTGTCGTGTCAATAATAGACACCCCTAACAGGCCCTGCCCACACTCAACTAATAGTGAGGTACGGGCCTCGCTCACACTCACATTCTTAACAACATACAGGTATCACACATACAACAAGTATAGCAATCCAACAATCTGACTGATATCTATACTCGGGTAATAATGAGATACGAGCCCCGCCCACACTCCACATTCCTAGACAAGAACATACAATCTACATGGGCCGACATTAGTCCCTTAGAATCGTTCAATCCAGGAAAAAACTCACCTCGCGCTGTTGAAGTCCCACAGATAATTTTCTGGCTGCTGGCTGACAAAATCCCCGAACTGTCAATCGTCAAAACAAAACCCAATTAACCATTTGGGTTTCAATGTATAACCATAAATACACACTTAGGGTAAAAGGGACCATTTTACCCCTAACCTAGCTTGGTCCAAGAACAATGCCCAAACTCATACTCTAAAGGCCCAAAGATCAAATAATCAACCAAGGCCCAAATATGGCCCAATTTTCCAAATTGGGCCCAAACCCCTTACATGGGCCTTACCCTAAGGCCCATCCAAATATCATAGTCCTTACACTGGTTCTCAGATGGCCCATTGAGAATCCAAACACCTAAGCCCAAAAGAAGGCCCATCTTGAAGCCCAATCATAATTATGTTTTTTCACATAAAATCACGATTAGGGTTAAGTGTTCTTACTTAACCCATTAAGGACATAATCCATTAAGTCCATCACTCCACTTGACCAGTATACCATGTGGTTGGGCGTAAGCCATAGATTGAATCCGATGGTCCAAAATGCGGGTCCCGGCAAGTCCAAACTAAAATTTCCAAGATTAGGGTTTTCTAAACCCTAATTAGGGTTTCCAACCCAATCACAAGCCAACAAAGTCCAAGATTAAGCTATTGGGCCGATTAGGGTTTCACTATGTCGAGCACCACCCACTGCCACCTCGGGCAGTGGTGGTCGACGGCGGCTCACGGCGGCAACCACCACCTCACGGTGGTGATAGAGGTTTTCCTTGGCTTTTCTCCGGCCAAATCACCCAATCAACATCCCATCATAGAGGAAACGCACTTACACACACCTAATGGCACACATAAAGACGCCCACGCGGTGGCAGGTGGCAGCCACCACTTTATGGTGGTGGCGGTGGGTTTTTCTGTCCAAGTAATGCACATACCACTACACTAATTCCGAAAGAAGCCCTTTCATGTGAATATATACGTACTCAGCCACCTACAAGGCGGCAGAATGTCACCGGAATGCAACAGAAATGGCGACCAACAGGCGGAGGTGGCCAAAACGGCGATCACGACTCCATATAACCAAAAAGGAACGAAAGACAAGATAGATAAGTTACGGTTTAGCCTTACCGGGGGCCTTCCAGTCGTTCACGGCATGAACTTCGTCGTTCTTGGCTTCTTCCTTCGGTCTCGGTGATCTTCCGGCTGTTCTCAACGTCCGACAGTAACGTTGTGGTGGCGCTCATCGGCGAGGCAGCAGGCGGCGGGCGGACACGACACCGTAGCGGCGGCTGAGAGGGCTCACGTGGTGGTGGCGACTGTAGAAGTGTACCCTAGGGTTAGAGTTTGCATCCTTCAAACGAGAGGGAAAGATACGCTGGTATAAATCCGTGTCATCTTTCCAAACTTAAGCCCCTTTCTCCAAGTTTAGCCCCTCAATCATAAAATCATTTCCAAATTAACTCCAAAACTTACCAATCAGCCCCTGCCCTCAGAAATCTTTAAAAAGTGGCCCCAAAATTACATTTAACCCCCAAAATCCCAAAATCATAATATTTAACTCCCATGCCTAACATCCTTAAATTATTATGGGTTTAGGGCTTCAATAAAATTATATAAAAATATCATTTACATCTCGGGGTTTAGGGGTTATTATTTATTTACTTATTTTATTTAATTTAAATGGAATGTTATAATTCTCCCCCACTTAATTTAGATTTCGTCCTCGAAATCATTCCTTATCATTCTTGACACGCCAAACAACTTGAACAACACGGTCAAGACCCCAAGCATACCCCAACCCTCCGAAGGTAACCGAATCCAACCCTCGTAAAGTTCTACAACCTGAAGATGAACGAATTCCTTGCAGTATATGATCCAATGTTGAATCCATCCAATTAATTTACCAACTAACTACTCAGCTTTTAATAAGTTGAGGTTCCCTCTAGAAAAGCGAATCACATACCATATATCCCTGCAAGACATTTATACTTGACCAAGGTTTAGATAATCCTTCGAGTGAGAGACTCATCCCTA